GTTAGTTTATTTAATATCCAGGAGCAGAGAAGAAGATTTTCAATGAATTAATGCATTTTCACTATATAATCAATAGAGCCCCACCCTAACAGCAGAACCCCTGATTCAGGGGCCATGAAATTCACAATTTCTGAAGAGGCACTCTTGCTCATCATAACTATGTTTTTAGTTAATTTCTTTAATACCCATAAGCAGAGAAGAAGATATTCAAAGAAATAATGCATTTTCACTATATAATCAATACCCCCCCCCCCTTCACCAAAACCCCTGACCCAGGGGCAATGAAATTCAAAATTTCTGAAGAGGCACTCTTGCTCATCATAACTATGTACTTAGTTAGTTTATTTCATACCCATAAGCAGAGAAGAAGATTTTCAAAGAAATAATGCATTTTCACTATATAATCAATAGAGCCCCCCCCCCCCCTTTCACCAGAACCCCTGACCCAGGGGCCATGAAATTCACAATTTTGGAAGGGGCATTCTTGCTTATCATAACTGTGTACTTAGTTAGTTTATTTTATACCCAGGAGCAGAGAAGAAGATTTTTGAAGAAATAATGCACTTTTACTATATGATCTATATAGCCCCACCCTAGCCCCAGAACCCCTTACCCTGGGGCCATGAATTTCACAATTTTGGTAGAGGGCTCAATGCTTATTACAATCATGCTAACAGTTTGACTGCTTGATGTCCAGGAGTAAAGAAGAAGATTTTTAAAGATTGCCTTAATTTTAGTGGTTTTTGCCCCACCCCTCAGGCCCCAGGGGGGCAGGGACCATGAAATTCACAAATTTTGTCCCCCTTCACCCATAGATGTTATATGCCAAATTTGGTTGAAATTGGTTGAGCGGTTTCAGAGAAGAAGCTGAAAATGTTCAAATGTTAACGCACAACGCACGACGCACGCCGACGGACGAAAACGGATAGCAATAGGTCACCTGAGTGACTCAGGTGACCTAAAAAGAAAAGATTTTACGAAAGAAGATATTATAGTAGAATCATTAAAACGTAGTAAATCCGCTCGTAATAAAAAAAAAATGGAACCATGCATTATATAATGTAATATTTCTTCCCTTAGGGCAGTTATGTTAGTTTAAGAGTTGTTGTAAAATGTGCTTTAAAAATAAAAATTAATTTCATTACAACATGTATTGGTAACGATCCTCTAATAAAACTAATGTCCAAATAACTGTATTTCTCATCTCTCTTTCTTCGCTTCTCCGATTTAAATACCATCTCTATCTACGATATGTCGTAAAAGTTTCCCGTGAGTAAACAAAAACGATTTTTGCGGAAAAATAACAGAATAACATAATTAATATTCATTACAAGATCAAATAAATTAATTCTTTTACCTATATCATATTAACGATGCATTTATTGCGCATCACGTGATTACAACTACTGCCCCGATTTAAGGCAGTTGGAGTTGCGCGGTGAACTTAAAATTAACAGGATCGAACTCTTTTAAAGTAATTTCACAGAAATTTCTATTTTTAGTAACCATTTCAACAACCGATGCACTAAGTTATGTATCTTAGTGTAATCTACTTACGTGCCAACATGATATACTGAAATCAAAGCAAAATTGTAGGAGTAGAAGCGTTTTAAAGAAATTTCACAGACATTTCTGTTTTTAGTAACCATGGCAACACCGTTCATCAAAATCAAAAACCGATGCACTATGTAATGTATCTTAATGTAGTCCACTTGTGCCAAGTTATATTGAAATCAAATGAAAACTGTAGGAGGAGTAGCGTTTTAAATGGATTTCACAGAAATTTCTATTTTAAGTAACCATGGCAACACCGTTCATCAAAATCAAAACCGGTGCATTAAATTATGTATCGTAGTGTAGTCTACTTGTGTGCCAAGTAATATTGAAATCAGACTAAAACTGTAGGAGGAGTACCGTTTTGAAAAATTACAGTTAGACGGACAGACGACGGACACCTTACTATCGCATAAGCTCTTCTGGTCTCTGTCGAGTGGAGCTAAAAAATCAGGCTGAAAGTTACAAAAATTTGACACTTTTTTTTTTTTCGTTTTCTCATCATACAAATTTGACATTTTTTAAAAAGTAAATTCATAGGACCTTTAAGGAAGGTGCCTTTTTTTTGTTTACAAGTGATTTATTTATCAACGAATTTGAGGGTCATGCGACATTACTTGTCCTATCTTGTTCTTTACAAGATTTACTACGCGAGTGAAATCTAAATATAGTTTACGGACATGTAATATCCAAGGTAATATTAGAGGGCTAAGTTTGACCTCTAAGTAGGCCTTTCGAAGTTTGTTTGCAAAATTTATTAATCTTTAAAACATAAGTATGACATCATCCTTTGTTCTTTTAATACTTTCTATTCCTTGAAAGGCCTAAGAGAGTCCAATAAGTTACCTGTAACCGTCCAATAATTTATTAAATACTGTCCATTATTAAAAATAATGGACAGTATTTATGGGGTCGAAGGACACATGGTCACATGACTTTGTTAAACTACGTCATAGTCTCCATTTATATAAGTGCAAAACGTGTAAAGCCTCAGTTCTTGTATAAATTTTTGACATTTGTTTTCTTCAATTACCATCTTATATTAAAAAAATAAAAAGTTTAACATTCTTGTAAATATTAACAAGTTATGAAAAAAGATTGATCCACCCCTCTGTTTCTTTAAACTGCATGTCCAACAAGTCGGTGACGTCATACACGATCTGCTAGTACAGCAAGATCATACTCGGTGAATACAAGGGCGGTATTATTATGTAAAAACAGGTCATAATCAGTATATGATGAAGTATTTTGAGAAACGGGGAACACAAAAAATTATTTTTGCATGGCTGATGACGGAAATCTTATGTAGGTATATCTTATTTTGCTTATTTAGCTTAAGTGTGACGTCATAGTTGGTTTTTTCCCATACTCGAGAAATGTAAACATGAAAAGTTTTTGACCTGCTTATGTCGTCTTTAACGATGTCCTGTGAAATATTGAGGTCAGCTTCACCATTCGAAATTTTTACAGTTAATTAATAATTTGAAGGACTTGCATTTCAACGTAAATTTAAAAATATTGAATGATAGGATTTTTTGTAAATTACGTTTTTTGTTGTTTAAGTTGTCTTAAAAAGTTCGTAATTTTCCCTATCCAGATGCAGTGTGATAGATGAAACTTGCCTTTTCGAATTTTACACCCAATTCATACTCTGAAATATTTTAAAAGATACATGTTCACTTACATATTTTTTATATATGCTTTAAAAATCCAATTATGGACAGAGTAATGAGCCCGGAAACATGGAGAATTAAAACTCCACTTAGATACTGTAGGACATAATATTTGTCAATCAATATCTCTAAAATAAGGTAAGACACCTAATGATATAACTGCTTTAAGATATGTGGGACATACTTATAAGAAATATACAAAATATAATAAAAAATTGAATGACAAGTATTTTTTCAGCTAAAGGTCCTTCTTCCCCTTAATAACTTATTGGACGGCAACATGTAAGTTAATGGATTAAGAAAGCACAACAAAGACACAAATTAGTAATAAAGTAATGAATCCAAAATGTTTCACAATGTAATGAAATATATATTCCTAGTCAGAGAAACAAAAATTGTAAATGATGAAATGTATATTCCAAAATCACAATGAAAGTCAAAACTTAAATTTGAAGGAAATATCTCCAAATTCTATGTAACTTGCACCACCAACACGTTCGGGGATATCACTTCTCCTTTTTTTTCCTGGCAAAAATCAGTTGCTACTTCTTTCTCACTAGAACTCCTAATAATTTTCCTCACTTTCTGCAGGATAACATCGTTTCTTCTGTTATAGGAATGCAAGGGTGTTTGGTCAATAGCCTTTGCCCCATTCGTTTCTGATCCAGCGATGGAAAAAATAAGAATTTTGTTGATTTCTTTATCACCCAACATCGTGATGTCCTTAAGCATGAAAACATCAACGTTGGGTACTGTGCAACATTCTCCCTGACAGGTAAAGAACACAGTCACTGCCCATTTATAATTCTCCGCTTTCTGCAAAAAGCCTTTTCTAAACCATCTAAATATTGTTGATTTAATTAAGGAAGTCTTTCTACGTTCCCTTTGTTTTTCTCCATCCTTGAATAGCGTTCGCCAAGTTGAGAAATATTTTTTTTAAAAATTGTGCACTTGGAGTTCAAATGTATTTATCTTGACAATCCTAAGCTCAAAATCCAAAAATCACTAGAAAAATGACACCTATTAGTAATTTGTTCATCATATCTGAATTTGATTTGCGTCAGAAATATGCGTTCTCCCTCGGAAGAAGACATGCTTTTAATTTGAAAATCACAAGAAATTGATTTTGATATCTCATAGCATTGTGGTTAAGTATTCATAATTCGTTTATTTAAAATAAGCACTTACCTGTAACTGTCCACTAAGTTAACAATTACAATGAATGTAAGTTTCTTTTGATTGTCAGCAACCTTTACCTGAGAGAGTCCAATAAGTAGACAATGCTTACTTAATACAATGGATGAGAAACAATTCTAAGAGAGTACATTATGAACACAACAGAGTAAATGTTTTAAGTAGGTTATAGGCCTCAAACTGCCCATTCTGTGGGAAGAAAGAACTATTGTCGGGCCTAACGGCCCTCCAACAGTTCTTTCTTCTGACAGAATGGACAGTTTTATATAACCTTAACCTTTACATAAGGAGAGGTAAAGAATATGAACATACTTCTACAACAAATGGATGTAAGTGGAAGATACAAATGATAAAAACAAAGGGAAACATAGGTAATCAAAGATTACAAAGACCACCTCGACCAATGTTATCTGTAAGTAACACAAATCTCACATCATATTTTTTTTTCTAGTTAGTATACATTCCAAGATCAATATCATGTAAGTTTGGTTTAAGTAGGACTTAAAGTTATTTAGAAATAGACCTGCTCAAAACACATTTAAACTGTTTACTATTCAAAGAACTTTTGGTCAGTTCAAACATCCAAAGCAAGTCTGGAAGATGCACCATCTATGCAAGTTTAATCATAACAGGCCATAATATTATATACCTACACCAAACAATTATACCCTGGTTACTCATCTCAAAAATGAAGGTCAGATTCAGAATCCAAAGCAAGTCTGGAAGTGTCTATCCCTAGATATATCATCCATGCTAATTTTGGTTTAAATATGGCTAAAATTCATTCATGTGGAAAATCTAGGTTGGATCCAGCATCCGAAGCAAGTGTAGTAGTGTCCAACCCTAGATGCATCATCCATGTAAGTTTGGTCCAGGTAGGGCTTATAGTTATTGGGAATGGACCTCCTCCTAAAACTTAAACCGGGACGCCGACGCTAACGCAGACGTAATAGCATAGGCTCATCTCGACTTCGTCTTTGTAGAGTGAAGCATTTCAATGTTTGACATTTCAACACCATTCACTTCCTACTACATGAAAATGACCTTCATGTAAATCATATACGGTACCAATTTTGATGCACCAGATGCGCATTTCGACAAATCATGTCTCTTCAGTGATGCTCAAGCCGAAACGAAGGAAATCCAAAATGTTTAAATAAAAAAGACTTGGAGGAGCTGAAAAAGGTGCCTAAATTAAGTGCAAGTTTATGTCTAAGAAAACAATATTCGTAATAAACATTTGCTTCTTAATTATGATTTTAATATGAAACCACCAAATCATCTGGAGCTTGGATCAAGTTCAAAACAAAAACATGTAAATTATAATTATCAAATCCTACAAACACTTGCAAAATTATCGAAATTTTACCGAGTTCAAAAATTCTTTAAATTTATACACAGGTGAATATAACATTTTATGAGAAATACCCATAATTTGAAGCATGCTTGCTTTCAGGCCTCAATACTGATTCCAGAAAACATTATTTTTTTTTATAGTTTTAGTTCATTGGAGGCTTCTAAATTAAAATTTCAGATATATTTAACTTATTCTTCAAACATATTGTCACATAAAATCATTTTTAATCTGATTGGTCTATCAATTTAAATTACACACATGTTATTATTCAAGTATTCAAGAAAACATTCTATGATTTCTACTTTTAATTGGAAGCATGCTGGCTTTCAAGCCTCCCTACTGCTGCTTTAATGTCTTTCATATCAGACCACATTTCTTGCACATCCGACATGATTGCCTTCACCATTTCATGCTGACTTTCTATTTTAACCTTTTCTATAATAGCATCTTCATCTTCCTCTTTTAAGGTCAGTTTTTGAATGTAATTAAGGTTATCCAAGTATTTCTTTCCAGTGAAGGTTTCAAGTCTTTTGCAGATATCTGACATCATTGACCAGGTGTCATCGAATTCTGTCTGAGGGGTGGAGGCTGAACTCACATGCGCAGTCAAATTGTTTCGGATTAACCTAATTCTCTCGATGTCATCACCCACCGTAGTTTCTCCTGCAGCAGGCATACTGTTTCCTCCCCAGGTTCCTTTTGTCGGTTTAGGGATAGTTGAACAAATGTTTCTTATCAAGGTGTATGTTAATGAAATATCAAAACTCTTATAACCAGAACTTTTAGCTTTTTGCACGAGATCCTTTTGATCTTTGTTTATTTTGATTTGTGATGATTTCACTTTGTTTTCAATGTGGGAAGGTGGTACCTCAAACTCTAGCATATCTCTACATGCCTGAATTAACACATCATTTGTTGCCATTCCAAGTTTGGCAAATCTAGATCGGCCTCCTAGGTCTTGTCCAGAGGTAACTGTAGCGCTGGCAGCACTCGTCTTTATCTGCAAAAAAAATTCTTTCAGTTAATCTGATAAGGCCATCTTAAACAAGACACAAACAATTCAATATAAAGTAGAATAAGAAAAATCGTTTAGCTATTTTTTTTATTAACACGTTTAAGCGAATTGATGTTCAAGCAGCTTTGGCAACGGGATGCCGCATGATTCCAAGGGATCTCAAGGTCATCAATGAACATAATAAAGAACGTAAATGAACGATGCGTATCCGTTTTCACATGGTATGCTACTTGACAACTTTGTTTGAAAATGTAAGGCCTGAAAAAGTCGGAAAATTTAGTTTTCAGACGGACATCGTGATTCTTCGATATCCCTTTTCAAAAAGAAGTTGTTCTGGTCATAACAGCATGGCAAGAAATAAAATATTTTTATCAAAATACTTAGTTATCACAAATTTTATGCATTAAATGATTAAACCTCTAATAAATCAAATATTGCTTTACAAATCTTCTTATATTGATATTTTTTGTTCAATGCACAGCAAATATAAGCAATTCAAAATATATTAAGCATTCATAGGAAAGAGGGCATGGACTGTTTCTGCAAGGCACTATCACTTTCAGATGGCTTTATTATAAATAAATACCTGACAGAGAGGTTTATAGCTTCAGACATATTTTATTACTAGTATCTATTAGCTGGATGCTTCTGTTGTCCTCTATATTACATCAAATAGCCTAATAACATTATTTGAGTCTTTTTAAAAGAAATACAGTTTTTAAACCAAATTTAATTTATATGAAGCAATTTGCATTTTATAAGAGTTACCTGTATCCAATATTTTGTGATGTTGTTTGTGTTGACAGGATGCTTCTTGTTTGCCGGGCAGGATGGACACAGAAAAGTGTCTCTGATAAACTTACATTCACTGATGACAGTGCTTTCTTTGCTATCACAAAATCCAGTAGGTTTACACTTGAACGCAACATGGAATTTGGAGTTCTCCTCGAATGTGTTGGAAAGTTTGTGTAACATACCCTCTATGTTTTCTCTAATCTGGTGACAAATTGAAACATCAACTTCTCCCTCCACAACAAACACTTGCAACTGAATTTCTGTCTGTGTCATTCCAAGCAGAATATTATGGTGCATGTCCTGATACATGAATACAGCCGCTGTTTGATAAATACATTTCTGGTCTCCATCAGAAAAAATCTCCCAAGGAATCTGAATGCAAGTTGCTATAAGACGATGGAAAAGGCCGGCAGGAAGAAGATCAAAGCTGTAACAAATGATGGATGAGGCAGTGTACGATGAAAAGTATTCCATACGAAATGGTATTTTGTTCATACAGGGAACGTACCATTTTTTGTCACTCAATTTAGCTAAGAGTCCTAACTTCTCCATGTACAGCATGATATCATCTTTGTGATCAATGTAACCATTGTTGTTCATCCTCCATATAGCAGACAGCAAAGTGTCTTGTAACTCTCCGGCTTCGTTGAACTTGTCCCACTCTGAGGCAAGGTGAAACAAATCCTCCTTTGCATGGTTTTCATCTGTTATAACATTTTTAAATGCATCTGCAAACCATTGAACATCAAGAATAATTACAACATTGAGGAATTCTTGATCAAAGTGTAAAATTTCTCTACTGTCATGGAAGAACTGCAGCATAACATTTATATCTTCTACAGTCTGGAGCTTTATTCCCTCTGGCAATGCATCATTGAATCTCTGAAGTTCAGCTTTGTTCAAAATCTTGACATTTTTCTTTTCCTGAAAGAATTTTTCAAACATAGCCCAAGATTGTGGAAGCTCTTCACCCCAGTGATCAAGTTTGCGAACAACATCAAGAATTGACAGTTTGATTTTTTTGATACTTTCATTGTCATGGAATCCAATTGCAAATTGCCTCTTCACATCAAGATGTTTGTGTAACGTTTTCTCCCTCATTTCTAAAATTTTCCATATTTGTCGAAAGAACAGCATTTTCTCCTGTTGAAATAAATCCCCTTTTATATTATATGCAATTGACAAGATTAAGAATTGAAAAGCTTAAGAGGCAGTCAACCGAAAAACCAGGCAGTATTGTATTAATAGGCGGCACATCGAATGTGAGGAATATTTGATATTTTATTCAAAACAATATAATGTAACCCAAAAGGAATAATGTAATTGAAGATTTGTTTGATAATTGCTTATTTAGTAAAATATCCTTCTGTTTTGTGTTTTTGAATGCTCCTATATAAACCATTGAATGTGGGTCAGAAACAAAGAACTTTAATTTCTGATACATTTTTAACAGGACTATAATTCACACTTAACTAAATCTAGAAATATTTCAACTTTTTGTTTAAAAAAATAAAATCGGTGGGAAAAACACTTTTGATAGTAGTTTTCTGGTAAAATATAAGGACGTTTTTATGAAATTTTGCGATGCAAGAGTTATCTCCCGTGGCATCGGTAAATCTGCTCAACACCTTTTTATCGGAATCCTGGTGAAATATTTAGAATCGATTCACTAAAGAAAATAATTAAACAAAAAACTAAATAATTTATTTTCAAAATATAATTCATTTTCGCCTCCAGACGTAATATTTAGATTAAAATTGGCTCTATTATTCAGGTTGAATCCACGTTTCCATTGATGTATCAGTGACGTCATATACCTGACTAATATTGCGTCACAATGAAAAAGTTACAAGTTTCCAGAGAAGTTTGTAAATTCTTTGCGTAAAAGTGTAAAGAAAAAGATTTTTTAAAAAATGATTTCTCTTTTCTGTTTAATTACTCTTCAGAGTGCATTATTCTAAATGTTAAATAATATTTTAATATCAAAATGTATTTTATACACGGGCGGCGTCTCAGCTAGATGACGTTTTGATAAGTAATTTTATACATGTCTGAGAACTAATTTTTTTTAACTGATTTACTAGGATATGCGTAAAAATAATTAATGAAGTATTTATCAGGAACATTTCTTATAAAATTGGGAATCAATGATGAATGTTTTAGATTTACGCAACACTTAATTCAACGAAGTTGAGATGTTTACTTCATGATATTTGTAAAAACTTAAATATATTTATCTATGCAGTCAAATCAAAATAAACAATCCGAAGTACGATTAAAAATGAAAAAAAAAAAAACCTGAAAAATAAGTTATAAAAATATATTTATTGAGTTAAACTACTGCTGAACTTCCCACTATAATTTGGCACTAAAACGGAAGATGGTTTAGTGAAACATTTCGTTTTTTTGTTGTTTTTTTTATTTTACTTATTTATTTTTTTAATTTGGCGATTGAAACAATCACACACTCACATTTAATATGGAGTTTAAACATGTGACTATGTTGGCCAATTCTAAAATGTTTTCACGTTTATGAAACCAATTTTTAAAAATAATGTTGGCCTAAACCCCCCCCCCCCCCGCGCTTTTTGCTTGCGATTTATCGGCTCTTGAATAATGATACTATATATGAAAGAACTTATTTTCTTATTTATATAAAATCAAATTTTGTAAAAGAGGAAAAGGCTTTACAGATGACAGGTAAGAAAAAACTTGGATAAAGTCGAGACTGTACACATAAAAATATTTCCTGTATTTAGGCAAGTTTAATTTCGCCACTGATAGAATTTACTCTTTAATTCCTGAGGAAATAAAAAAGAAATTTTACTTAGAAATAAGATAAATAATAAAGCTAGAAAGCTGTCTGCTCTCATTTGTTGCATAATGCATGTATAAATACTTTTTTTTAAATACCGAGTATCCATTAAGAATTCAATCAGATGTTTTACATGTAATCTTCATGTACGTAAAAGACATTAGTAATTTAAATAATATATAAATTTGAATCTATGGTTACACACATTTAAAAACAGTTAAGTGACTGAAAAGAAATAAAAGACAAGCATATTTATCTGATCAATTAAAATGAAGAGCCAAATTTAGGAAATGTTTCTAAATTTACAGTAAAAACCGATCCCGATCCGATCGAAAATAATGCAAAATTAACAAATTTATCAAACTAAAGGCACCTGCCACCTATATAACATGTTAAAAAAATAAATCAAGTAAGTTTTTACTCATATAACAACAAAAGAGCCAATTACAATTATAGCATTTTTTTCTTTATATAATTCCGGTCGGGATCGGTTTCATTTGGGAAAATTATAAAAAAAAAAAAAAAAAAAATAGGTAAATTTGACTCCTTTTATTTCTTTCAATATACCTGTTCCCACTGATTTTATTGAGTGATTCAAAAGTTTGTACTTTGTATTCATAATAACATAAGAAAAAAAATCTGTCCTTGTAATGTATTGGGTTTTATAACGTAATGAAAATTGGATACTGAATTCAAAAAGTTACTTGCTTAACTCAAATTTGGACCATATAATTTTTTCTAAAGAAGTATAAATTGGAGTCTTATTCATTAATAAAATAAAAGATAAGAGTCTATGCTATAAATAATATTCATCGACACATCCAGCTTTTGAGTATCTGTTACATATACATGTAAAACAAAATAAAAACGTAGTAATTTTTTTACTCTTATATTGACCTTTTTGCACTTAAAATTAAGCATTTACCAAAAATAGGACTAGAGGAGCACTAAAATTTTTTTTAATGTTGCCATGTGTAAACACTTGCTTTAATAAGTCTACATGCAAAAAATAATTAAAATCCATGACATGCGATGTGCCACCCATTGCCTGGTTTTTCCGTGGACTGCCTCTTAAATATTAAAGTGATATGACTTGGAACAAAACTGAATACACACTACCTGAAGATGCTTCTAAATTAATATGACTAATAATGGCTTTGTTGTTTTAAGAAGAGAATTTTTATTGATACAATACATATATATTCTTTTGTATAACATGATCTCCTGTTATGGCCCCTCTATTCTCCTGAGGGTCATGATTTTAAACAAACTTGAATCAACATTAACTGAGGATGATTCTTTATTACTATGAACTACTTTGCTGTTCTTGGGAAGAAGAATTTTAAAGATTTTCCTATGTATTCCTATGTAAATTTTGATCACCTTTGTGGCCCCATCCTACCCCCGGGGGGTCATGATTTGAACCAGCTTGATTCTAAACTTCTGTGTGAATACTTGCTCTTAGGTACATGCAATTCTGTAGTTTAATTGGGAGAACACATGAAATATTTTCTACAAATGTCAATGTGAAATGCTATTCACCCCCTTTTGTGACCCATTCTAAGAAATATGGTCTCATCTTGAAGGATTTTACTAACTGCACTACAGTACAGTCATGTTAATATTTTAATCATTTTTTGTGATCTAAAAGTTTTCCCCCAAATATTCTAGTTGAAGCTTAAAAAAATATTTTTTTCTAAGGAGGCTGTGTGGCAAACTTAAGTTTAGTGGAAAATGGCCTAGTGATTTTGAGAAGTAGCTGCATATGCTAAACTTTTAATGAAAGACAGACCAACAGAGGTGTACAAAATATGTTAAAAAAAGCTCACTTGAGCTTTCAGCTTAGATAAGCTAAAAACTTTAAAACGATGTTTTTATTCTTCGCAGGTGAGTTAAGGCTAGGTACAGGCATTTCTATGCAAAAAAACTAATTAAAAAAACTAATTTCTATATCTATTATACAGAGAAAGTTAAAACTTATTGTCTAATACACACTTGGTACCCAGGACATGAGATAGCCAGAACACATTGTGACGTCATATTATGACGTCATTGTTCTTTACTACACAAACTTATAAAGGACATCATCAAAAAAGCTTTGGCGTAAGAGCATGCTCTATTTTATTTAACTGAAATAAGATATATTTAGAAGCAAAGTATTCCAAAGATTGCTGGTATTGCTGCACAAATATCAACAGCTCAGTTGTATAATTTCTATTTGTAAAGTTTTAAGTTGAATCAGGATAAAAATGTACAGTACGGTATAAGTTTCCTCAAATTCCGATCAAATGAGAAATTGCCTAGGATTTGTGCAGCAGTTTTATTAATCTACAGAATATTCTTCTTAGCATTATACAATTTTTATGTAAAATTAAATAGGGTAATCCCCTGCGCCGAAGCCGTTTTGTTGATGTGTTTTATTACCTCCAGTAGGTAAGAACAATGATGTCGTAATATGACGTCCTAATGTGTACTGGCTATAACGTACGGTGGGTACTAAACATGCATAAGAAAATAAATCAAAACTTTCTATGACTAATAAATATACCTCTTATGCGTTTTTATTAGCTCATTTGCATAGAAACGTCTATTTCTAGCCTTAACTCACATGCGTTCTATATGAATTTAAGGCTTTAAAAAACTTGATACATCATTCTTATGGTTTAATCTAAAACCGCCCTTACTACAGATCCATTCAATTATCATTAAATTTAAAAAAAAAAAAGGTTTCTCATTCTTTACCTTTGATTAGAGGTATAACAAAATATTCAAAACTCTTGCACACTTTTTGTCAATTTTTTGCTCTAAAATTCACTATTTAAAAAAAACACATCTATACTTTTTTGACAATATACGGTATTGACTTTTATTTAGTAGATGCAAAAAGTTTGTACCTTTTCTGTTTTGTTTTCACTGTGTGTGCCAACCAGGATGACAGGAGCCTTATCACTGCTGTATTGATGAATGGACTTCATCCAGAATTCAAGGTAATCTAAAATTAAAAAAAAAAAATACATAGAGTAAACAAATATCCCTTAGATAAAATTGGACCTTATCATTTTTTCAGGTAAAATGCAAAACTATCATGTGAAAAATAAAATATACAAGTACAATGGCCTTTCACTTTTTTCAATATTTTATCATTACCCAAACATAAATGTAGAGGCTGAAATTTTGCTATCAGTCTTTTCATATATTCTGACTGGCAATAGACTGCAATATGCATATGTAAAGAGACTTGGAAGTGTAGAATCTGGCATCAATTTATCTATAGCATTATTATGTTTTGACAATTAATAAATTCTTTCTTTTACAACCTTGAGATTTTTTAAAATTCTTTAGGATGTTCAAACAGAGAAATTGGCTAGTGAGATTTTCAAACAGATATCAGAGAGATCGTATTAGCCAAATGTATATCAATTGTATAATTGTAGTTGTGTCAATGCTTATTTTCCAATAATATTTTCAAGTGATATCCTTTTAAAAATAGATTAAACTGTATATTTTTAATGAATCTGAGGGGAGATTGAAACAGCATTCAATACTGCACATACAACAATCGTAAAAACAATTGTAATTCTTGAGTTGGTTTAAAATAGTACCTCAAAATCACACTGAATATATCTGTAATGACTGTTGGTCATGATCAAAATCAATTTTTGAGACAAATATTATTAAGATTTCTGTGCTCATCTTGAGAAAAGGTATGGATCATTTTAGAATTTATATATACAACGTATCTTTCCTACTCGAGACTGTTACCTTGGCTACATAACCAAGGTCATAAAACGGCTTTAAGAATTCCTAGAATAAACATGAATTTCTGTTTTTTTTCCATTGCAACCAGAAGTATCTAACGAAACTGTAGCTCTACTGGTTTGAACTTATAACAAAAGAAGATAAAATTTGTACTTGGACTAAAAACTTTGCAACAGCAATAAGTAGAATAATGTTCCTTGGTTAAGTCTCTTTTTGTGGAAAGATTTATTGCAAACAGAACAAGAGGCCCATGGGCCACAACGTTCACCTGAGTAACTTTGGCCCTGCTGTTCTTCATCTGATTTTCAGCTTGTAATACGTATTGTGGCCCCGACCTATCCCTGGGGGTCATGATTTGAACAATTTAAATTCTACACTCATCCAGGATACTTCCTTGTAAGTTTCATCTTTTCTCATGCAGTGATTCTTGAGAAGGAAGATTTTTCCTATATATTTCAATGTAAAACTTTGATTCCCCATTGTGGCCCCATCCTACCCCCAGGTGGTCATGATTTGAACAAATTAGAATCTACACTACCCTCAGAATGTTTCCATGTACTAAGTTTCAGCTTTTCTGGCCCAGTGGTTCTTGAGAACAAGATTTTTAAAGATTTTTCATATATTTCAATGTAAAACTTCCCCATTCTGGTCCCACATTACCCATTGTTTTGTTTATTTTTATGTTGTTTATATTCCCTCTCGAGAATTTTTCACTCATATGGAGACGCCACCACTTGCCGGTGGAGAGCTGCAAATTTTGTCCTATACTCAGCACTTACGGCCATTGAGCAGTGAGGGATCTTTTTCGTGCCAGCACCTACTGCGACACGGGACCTCGGTTTATACTGTCTCATCTGAAGGACCAGTCTCCATGTCCCACAGTGGGATTCGAACCCGCAACGTAAGGATCAACTCCTTACTCTGCGATTCTAGAGCAGATGCTCTAACCACTGCGCCACGTGGGTGACTGATTCCCCATTGTGGCCCCATCCTACCCCCGGGGGTCATGATTTGAACAATTTAGAATCTACACTACCCCAGCATGCTTCCCTGTAAGATTCAGCTTTTCTGGCCCAGTGGTTCTTGAGAAGAAGATTTTTTAATGACCCCACCCTATTTTTGTCTTTTCTCAATTAACTCCCCTTGTAAGGGTGCTTGGCCCTTCATTTTAACAATTTAAACTCCTCTTCACCCAAGGATGCTTTGTACCAACTTTGGTCAAAATTGGCCAAGTGGTTCTTGAGAAGAAGGTTAAAATGTGAAAAGTCTACGGACGGTCTGACAGACAGACAGATGGACAGACGACGGACAACAGGTAATCATAAAAGCCCACTTAAGCTTTCAGCTCAGGTGAGCTAATAAAACTGTACAAGGAATAGCCTTTTAAAGGAATTTACTGACTACGGAAATTTCGATTTTAGCAACCATGGCTACATTATTCAAAATAAAAAAAATGATAAAGACAATTTTGAACCTCAGTGTAGCCTACTTGCATGCCAAGTTATATAAAATCAGACCTAACTGTACGAAGAGTAGTGTTTTGAAAGTATTTCACAGAATTTTTTTTATTTCTAGTAACCATGGCAACACTGTTCATCGAAATCAAAAACCGATACACAAAATTATGTATCTTTATGTGTAGTCTATTTGTGTGCCAAGTTATATTGAAATCGGACTACAACTTTAGACGGAGAAGCATTACGAAAGTATTTCACAGAAATTTCTATTTTTAATCCACTGGTCCCACCGGCAAAACTGGTAAATATTTTAAAAGCTCCAGTAATTTTCTTCATGCAATCGGTCCGAGTGACCAGTAAAAAAATCGACCTTTCCGGAATTTTAACCTCTTAATGTGCAGTTTTTAAGCTTAATTGTGAGAACGTCAAAACGTTTGAATCTGGGTGCATGTATGATAGAATAAACTCAAGCACTTTTAGGACAGTTAGTTTTTTCTCAAAACGTTTCATATTCGGTAATAAAAAAAAGAAAACCTAAAATCCGAAATAGTGAGCGAAATTGAAAATGAAAGAGACATGTACATGTAGTTGTAATTTTCTCTTAGTGAAATGTATAACTGGTATGAAAACAAATTTTCAGTTTTTGATTTTTTTTAATTTTAGTATCTCAAATATACATGTATGCTGATGGACCAGTGGATATTTGTGTGGTCCAGTGAATTTCACTAAATCACTGATCCACTTGACCATTCAATTGTTTTTCTTTTCAAAAACTCTGAACACTGTTCATCGAAATCAAAAACTGATACATGTACAAGGAATTTTGTATCTTAGTGTAATCTTCTTGTGTACCAAGTTTTACTGAAATCAGACCAAAACTGTAGGAGGAGGAGCGTCTTGAAAGTATCTTTAAAAGAAATTTCTATTTTAAAGTTACCACAGTAACAGCGTCCATTAAAATCAAAAACTGATGCAAAGAATTATGTATCTTAATGTAGTCTTCTTATGTGCCAAGTTATATTGAAATCAGACGAAAACTGTAGGAAGAGTAACATTTTGAAAGTATTTCACAGAAATTTCTATTTTATAACCATGGCAACACTGTTCATCAAGATCAAAAACCGATACATAGAATTATGTATCTTAGAGTAATCCACTTGTTTACCAAGTTATATTGAAATCAGACTAAATCTGTAGGAGAAGACACATTTTGAAAGTATTACACAGAAATTTCTATTTTTAGTAACCAGGGCAACATCGTTCATGGAAATCAAAAACTGATACAAGAAATAAGATATCTAAGTGTAGTCTATGTGCCAAGTTTTACTGATATCAGACCAAAACTGTAGGAGGAGTAGCATCTTGAATGTATCTTACAGAAATTTCTATTTTAAGTAACCAGTGCAACACCATCCAACGAAATCAAAACGTAATATATAGATTTATGTTTAAGTGTAGTCTTCCTGTGTGCCAAGTTATATTGAAATCAGGCCAAAACTGAAGGAGGAGTAGCGTTTTGAAAAATTGTTTACAGACAGATGGACAGACAGACAGATAGACAGATGGACGGACGACGGACACCTTACTATCGCATAAGCTCTGACCAAAAGAGCTAAAACCAAAATTATGCTTTGAATTATAATCCCTCAGAAGGGAGAAAGAAAACTTTATTCATTCTCTTTTATGTCCCATAAACATTGTATAATAAGAGGCCCATGGGTCACAATGCTCACCTGAGTCACTTATATTAGTAAATTTTCTTTATTTTACTCCTAAAGTTAAAGAAAATATTTTGCAATTTATTTTAATGATATCATCCTATGTACTAACTCTGTTGTAAAACTCTGATACTCTATTGTAATCTCAATACTTTCTCAAGGAATCTAATCTGAAGAATAAACTTAAACATAAACTGCTAATGGATGCTTGCATTAAAACATGCTTTATTACGGGTTTGATGTTCATTAGAGAAGAATTGTGAAAAAAAAACTTTGTGAAGCTTTGATCTCGTATTTAAGACCACCCCAACCCCTGGGGATATTGAATTGAAGGAATTTGAATCTACACAGCCTAAGGATACATCCGCATTAATATGACTGAACATGTATGCCTTTTTATAGGTCTTTCCAAAGCTATATTTATGCGAAACTTTGCTTGCCTATAGTGTTTCCACCCAAGCCCTAAGATTTGAATAGACTTGAAAACATGATGATGCTTCCATATACTGATGAATAATTACATAAGGCTTTTCTGATCCTACGATTTTTCCCAATTTATTAATATAATGCTATGATTCCCTGTTGTGGCCAACCCTAGCCCAGGTGTCATGATTTGAACAATTTGAATCTACACAACCTGAGGATGACTCCATATAAATCAGACTAATTATTGCTTCTTGCGAAGATTTTTAATTTTTTTCTATTTATTCAAATATATGTAAAACTTTGACCGCCCAGTGTAGCCCCACCTTTGCCGAAAGGGTAATGGTTTTAAAAAAATGAATCTTAACTATGTAATGAAGCTTTAATATGTTTCATCTTCTCTGGCCCAGTTATGTTGGTAAAAGAGGATTTTAAAACATGCCAATATATTTTTAATCATTCTAAATTATCTCCCCCTGAAGGAGGACATGGTCCTTCATTTGAACAAACCGGAATTTAATTTATTCAAGGGTGCTTTGTGGCAAGTTCATTTGAAACTAGCCACAATGTTCTTGAGAAAAAGTCGAAAATGTGAAAAGTTTAAAAACCAATAGACACCAGACAAAACACTTTATATGACAGACGACATACAAATGCCGTACATCCTTCAATCAGGAAACCTCACTTGGACCTTCTGCTCATGCCAGTTAATAATTTTACCTCTGTGTGTCCATCCCTTGTATATTGAGCTTTCCTGTCTACAAACTTCTTCTCCAACCTTATCATCGAACTCTTTTTCCATATTGAGCACCAGAATGAAGAATGCTCGTGGACTCAGAAAAATCTGGTGTGAGGCATAATATGCACACTGTCCCGCAAAGTCAGTCATGGTAACTTTTTTATCAGGATCATCTGAAAGGTCTTTTGTAACTATCTGTAATATTCCAGAAAGTTCTGAACTACTAGGGAAATCTTGATTACCTTCAATGGCTTCCCTTCCATTAGATGTAGCAAAGATCTGTTTATATGATGAGGTACTTTGAATGTTGGTTTCATCATGGGACATCTGTCCACGATATGATGCCTCTGCAGTAGAACCTCCACTATCCAATGGCTCTACTATATCCAACATTTCCACATCAATGGCTTCTTCCACAGGATTTTCAGGATCACTAAGCTGTTGGTTTGTTTCCTCAAAACTAATCTTAAAGCGTTGCTGCTGGCTCGAAGAATTTACTACAAAAGGCAAAATAAGTTAGACAATTTTATGTGCTGTCATGCAATTCCTACGAAAGTTAGACTTCTTTTTTTTTAATTCTACATAGTCTTGAAACTTATTCAGAGACAAATTTAACATTGGACTAAAATTAAAGACCCTTAATGTAAACAGTTTTTATCACAAGGGCAAATTGAAGCATGTTGTATGGATATTTTCTCCACTAAATATTCATTAAAACAAATTTGTATACAATAAAACATGTAAAAAGTTTATAATGACATTATCCAGGGTTCGACACTACCATTTTTAGGCTTTAGTCCGGCCGGACTAGTGCTTCTTTACTTTTACTAGTCTGCATGCCATTTTATGAGTCCGTAAAAACTCACACACACATCAATGTTTTGTACATGTTGTAAAAGTTAATTTAAAAATAAACATTGCAATGTACTTTTTACACTTTTTTGAAATAAACAAAGCATTTACGTGAAAAGTTTTATTCCAAGATTTGTTGAAATCTCTCGATCAGGAACTAAGATCGTATTCCCGATCTCCTTCGTTTTTCTCTATACATGTACATTACATCCAAATGTCCGACATATTTCTTTATGTGTCATACTTAATAATGATCGCTAAAATATTTAATTTCATATCAATCAGTCCTAAAATTGAGCACTGAATTGACTCGAAATAACCTAACTTCCTGCCAAGAAGCTAGAAAGCTAAAAATACATGCGGGGTTTTCCAGTGAAAGTTGTCGAGAATCGAACATCGGTTATTTATTGATTTTTTTTCAGACATTTTAGTCCGTTCGGACTAATTTGCCACAGATTTTATTAGTCCGAATGAAAATGTATTAGTCTGAGACTAACAGACTAACGTTAATGTCGAACCCTGTTATCACAATGACCCCTTATACATTGCAGGTAGCATAAGGTATGCTCTTGTACATGCATGGCTTTTAATATTCTGATGACTGACGAAAAATTCATTGTGGTGAAGTACTTTGTGATAAAATATCTTTCGTCAAAGTAGGTACATTGTATTCACAGCAAGCATTCTTGCCAATACCGTGATATGCTGTATATATACAATTTTTGAAACAAAAGACCATTGTGCCTCAACACTAACCTGAATCATAAATCATCTGTGACAAATAGATGTGAAAATTAATCCCTGGTATAATATCAGTAAATAAACAGTACCTTGGATGCTATCTGTCACATCAAAAACATCTGTGTGGATGTCGACTCCCCTGGTTGAACTGATATTTTCCTTTATTTCTTCCAGGTCAATCCCCTTTAGTCTCTCTAACAATGTTGTTTTACCACTACCAGCACACCCTATTATCATTCCAGAGGCATGGTACATGGTTGTCTTCCCTTTCTTTAAATTCTGGATAAAATTCATCACAGATTTGTCTCCCCTCAAAATAACCTGCATTGGTATTCCGACTATAAAGACAAAAGCATTTGCAATTCAATGCTGAAACAGAGTCAATTACATAATTACATGAAAAAAATTGTTGGATACCTGTAACTGTGTTATGTAGTGTTCAGTTAGTACTCTGGTTAATCATTCGCGTTTTTTTTTTCATACATGAAAATATGACAAGATCTGTAAAAAGTTTGTTAATTCAATTTTAACTTTTTTGAAAAAAATACATATATAATGGAATGGAAAAGCCACTGAATCCAATTTCTAAACACTTCCATAACCTAAATAAAAGCTTGTGATATGCATCAGTTACTTTTATGGTATACCAATTAATGATCATTATCACGTTATTCCGTTTGCTTATTGCTTATGATTTTCCAAAAGAAATGTTCATGCATTTTACATTAAAAAAAAAAGAATTATAACCTGCATAACCTGCGAGGCAAAATTGCTCAAAAGATATTTCCACATGACAAATGAAAGACATATCCCATTCAGAGTTATTTGTTCTATAAGTAGATCCTTCAACCTTAACATTCATGAATTTCTTTATTTTGAAATCAAATAGACATACACTTGCTGAACGCCAAATCATGTACTGTTGGGTCCTCCATTGTTGGGTGCTTGAAAATGTCCTCTCCAAGTCTTTCTATCAATTGCTCTGTTTGTTTTGGCAATAACCAGCAAAAGACTTCATTCTCTTTTGGAGGGTAAATCCATGATCTGCAGTACTCAGCTATATTTCCTTTCTCTGCCTGAGTCAGGAAGATATCCACAAATTTTGAATTCCTAGAGAATTTGAGGAAACTGATATCTTTGAAGACATCAGAAGAGAACCTAACCTCTGATTCATTGAATTTCAGAACTGGTTTGTATTTTTCTAAGTCTTCAAGAGTAAATGGCTTAGTGATTTCCTTGGACTGAAAACTTTCGGCAACAGCATTGTACTTGTTTATCCATTTTCCTTCTCTCATGTTAATTTTGTAAGAATTGGAAAGAAGAAGGCACATCAAGAATGCATTTCCACCTACAAAATTAAATAAAGAAATGCTGTTGATATCATTGAAATATTGACCATATTCAACAACACAGCTTTAACAACATCTTCAACAACAATAGCCTTAACAATAATTTTATAGTTTTTTTTCTGCCAGTGACCTTGAGCTTGCAGGAATGACATTCTTCAAGGTCAGGACACACCCGTAGGGAATACACAATCTTTGTACATGTACTAAGTATGAGCTTCCATTTTTTTATTACATAGTTAGAGCCTTGAAAAAAATTATATAATTTTTTTCTTTGAGTGACCTTGAACTTGCCAAAAAGACCTTGCAACAAGATCCAAACACACTCTTGGGTCATAAACATTCTCTGTACCATGTATAAGCTTCCAATGATTTACAAATTTATATCCAGAATAAAATTTCATGGACAGACAAACTAGGTAAATCCTATATCCTTCCACAAAATGCTGTCAGTCGGTAGAGGGCTTGCTCCATAATCAGAAGGTTGTGTGTTTGAATCACGGACGAGACTGACCTAAAAAAAATATGTAGCAACTGTTCCTTTGCCAAGCCCTCTCCTCGGCACTTTGAAGTGAAAGTTACCGGTCTTTTGAATGAGACCTTAAAAACCGAGGCCCATGTCACGATAGGGCTACAGCGCTGGCACAATAAAGATACCTATCTACTCAATGGCCCTGAGTCATAGTGTCGAGTAAAGGTCTAAATTTGAAGCCCTTCACCGGTATATGGTGACGCCTTTATGTGAGTGAAAAATTCTCAAATGGCACGTAAAAGAATATACAATCAATCAATCAGTCCTACCTCAAATTTGTTTGCAAGGGTAAATCAATGCAAAATAAACTGACAGAAGAAAAAGAAATAGGACAAGAGACCCAAGGGCCAATTTGCTCACCTGAGCACATTGGCTAGAAAAAAGAAATCAGTTTAGTATTGAAAAGGTTAAATATATGTGATCATAAATAACAGATTTATTTACATTTGAATTTACACTAACTTGGATTAACATAGCTTTAGAAGATTTTTTTTATATGTTTGATCTTCTACTGTGGCTGATTCCAACATGTACCCAGAGGGGCATGAATTGAAAAAATATAATAAACTTTACTCTAAGATGTATCTTAATTAATATGACTATGCATTAATATGATTTGTTATTCTTGGTAAGAAAATTTTGATGACTTTGATCACCAATTATGGTCCCTCCCTTCCCATGGGGGTCATGATTTGAACAATCTTGAATGTAAACTACTTGAGGATGGTTCCATTAAAATATGTCTAATCACTGATTTATGTTCTTAAGAAGAATATTTTTAAAGATTTTTTCCTATATATTTCTATGTAAAACTTTCAAATTTGAATGCCAATTGTGATCCCCACCTAGCGCAAGGGGTCATGATTTGAACAAACTTGAATGTACACTACCTGAGGGTGCTTCCATATAAATATCACAAATCATGGCTTTGCTGTTCTTGAGAAGAAGATTTTTAAAGATTTTTCCTATATATATTCCTATGTAAAACTTTGATACCCAACAAAATAATTCGTCTATTACTCAATAAAAAAATCTTAAAGTTGTTCTATTTAATTGCCTGCACTTGCCTCCATTTGTCGCTATCACCATTTTGTCTAAACAAAGCAATAGTGCTTGAGCACTCTTAGAAAACCAATCTCATTCCCTCTAACATTGACATCTGCGAGAAAATTTACTAAGATATGTTCAAAAATATGGCATTTTCCCCCATGTATTTATATGTAAAACTTTGATCGCCCATTGTGGCCCCACCCTACCCCAAGGGGTCATGATCTGAATAAATTTGAATCTACACTACCTCACAATGATTCCACATCAGTTTCATATTTTCAAGCACAGTGGTTCTTGAGAATAAGCTTTTTAAATGATGCCATTAATTTTTCACGAAATCATAATTATTTCCCTTTGGAAGAAGGCATGACCCTTCATTTGAACAAACTTGAATCCCCTTTACCCAAGGATACTTTGTGGCAAGTTTGGTTGACATTGGCCCACTAGTACTGGTTCTTGAGAAGAAGATGAAAATTTGAAAGGTTTACAACGACAACAATGACGACAGACAACAGACAAATTTTCTTCAGAAAAGCTCACTTGAGCCTTCGGCTCAGGGGAGCTAAAACAAGAGGCCCATAGGCCACATCGCTCACCTGAGCACTTTGGCTAGGAAAATGCAGAAATCAGTTCAGTATTGAAAAATTTAAATATTTAAAGTGGTTATGGGGGGTGGGGGGTGGGGGTATGATTTGAACAGACATGACTAATAATATCTTTGCTGTTCTTAAGAAGAAATTTTTATTGATTTATCTTTTATATTCCTATGTATAACTATAATCCCCTGTTTTGGCCCCTCTATACTCCTGGGGGTCATGATTTGATCAAATTTGAATCTACATTACCTGCATACCTGCATAAGATGCTTTTATTTTATTATAAAAAATCACGGTTTTGTTGTTCTTGAGAATAAGAATTTTAAAGCTTTTCCTACCTGAGGATGCTTCCATATAAGTATGATCAATCATGGCTTTGCTGTTCTTGAGAAGATTTTTGAAATTTTCCCTATGTATTCCTATGTGAAACTTTGATCGCCCACTGTGGCCCCACCCTACCCCCGGGGGTCATGATTTGAACAAACTTGCATCTACACTTCCAGAGGATGATTCCATATAAATATGATCAATCAAGGCTCAGCTGATCTTGAGAAGAAGATTTTTTTAGATGTTCCCCACCCTACCCCTTGGGGCATGATATGAACAAACTTGAATCTATACTTCCTGCGGATGCTTCCACATAAGTTTCATATTTTCTAACACAGTAGTTCTTGAGAATAAAGTTTTCAAAAGATGCCATAAATTTTTCACGAACTCGCAATTATCTCCCCTAGAAAAAAAAGCACGGCCCTTCATTTGAACAAACCTGAATCCCCTTAACCCAAAGATACTTTGTGGCAAATTTGATTGAAATTGGCTCAATGGTTCTTGAGAAGAAGATGAAAATGTGAAAAGTTAACAACGACAATGACAACAGACAACGGACAAATTTTGATCAGAAAAGCTCACTTGAGCCTTTGGCTCAGGTGAGCTAAAAACACACTTTTCAGTATTAGTTTTTTAACTTTCAACTGTTTTGAAAACAATGCATGGACAATCGCTTTCCAAGAATTGTCAGAGCAGTTGAATGCATTCATCTAAAGGTTTTGGGACTATACACAACAACTAGCTGATGTGTGACCAAACGGTTACTTTTTAAAGAAAATAACAGAGAAGCATAGCTTGGGTAAATGTGATAATTGGTCATAATTCAACACAATGTGGAGTAATAACATTTATCCATACCTCAGTATAAGGTGCTGAACACTTAAACAATTAAAATACAGCTTTGGCTTAGAAGTGTTCAAAAGCAGCGATGTTTAAACTAACTTTTAAAGGGTTTCCTTTTTAAATGTCAGTAGTTCAATTCTACAAATAAGTTTATATACTTGGGAATTTTATTTTTCTCTATTTTAACTAAAATGCTGACTTGTGAGAACTTGCAAAAAACGAAATAGCTTCAGAGTGTTCTTTCAAACTGTTTATCTACAAATTTTGACCCGATAATAAGCACTCATGCAAATCAAAACAATACTTCAAACAGAAAAATGTCATAACATGGAGGTATCCCATAGAACCTTAATCAACCTTTCCGTTGCATTAATTACAGTGATAAAACGCATGTGAGTTAAGGCTAGGTATAGGCGTTTCTATGCAAATGAGCTAATAAAAACGCATAAGAGGTATATTAATTATACAGAGAAAGTTTTTATTCATTTTCTTATGCAATTTTAGTACCCACGATATGTTATAGCCAGTACACATTATGACGTCATATTATGACGTTACTGTATGATCTTCCCTATTGGGGGTAATAAAACACCTCAACAAAACAGCTTTGGCACAAGGGATTACCCTATTTATTTTTACATAAAATTTGTATAATGCTAAGATGAATATTCTGTAGATTTATAAAACTACTCACAAATTGTAGGCATTTTCTCATTTAATCGAAATTTAAGGAAACTTATACCGGACTGTACATTTTTACCCTTATTTAAGGTAGTAGCCCTTTCAGATAACTTTTGCAGGGCAAATTATTAAATTTTGGCGAAGTTTTTGATGACAGATAATTAAACGATGTATAATAAACAACTGCTTTTACGTCATATTTCACCAAAATTTATCATTTTGCCCTGCAAAAGAGCAGTACCGCAGTTATCGTGAAACAGTCTATTAGATGTTGTGTATGAATTAATACAAACACGTCTGTTCACTATGGCTACATATTATTAACTGATATACATTAACATGCATAAAGCTACAACTCTAGAAATTCACAGACTATCAAATAACAAGTTCTGCAGAGCTAGCGATTTCAATATAAACAATTTAAGGTTAACCCCTTAGCAACTGTCAAAATCAATTACTGTTCTAAACATTGTTTTATTTATGTTGGAGATGCATATGTGAACTTTAGAATATAGAAGTTAAGATCAAGGAAGATATAACATTTCCTCCCATCTAATTTATGAACATAAAACACTTGTAGTATTCAAAACAAAACAAAACTATATTCTACATGATTAAAGGTCATAAGATTATAATATGGTTATTATAATAATGTTTATGTACAAAGTCAGCACTCTTCAATGAGTCTTTTCGTTTGTTTACGCACACGCGTCGGATAACGTTTAGGTAACGGTAGTTCGGATGTCGCGTTTTCCGTCTGTGGGCTGACTGGAGACTCGTTGATACATGGCGCGTTTGTCTCATCAGTTACGGACTCTCTTTGTTCTGGCATAGGGTCATTTTACAGTACACTGTTCATCGGTTTTTGATTTTGAGTCGTGCATTTGATCTATGTGTCTTTTCCATACACTTCCTTGTTTTGTTGTAATCTCGTAAGATAACGGTCCTAGCTTAGATCCAACCTGTCCGTCAA